TCTTTGCACCTATTTCGCGTTACATTAGCGTTAGCCAAATCATTTTATTTATGGCAGGGAATTCTGCCGTACGTATCTTATGTTACTATTACCAACCCTGGCTTACAATACGCATAGAGAATTTCGTCCGGCAACCAGTTTGGGAATGACGAGGCCAAATTTGTGTTATACTTTTTTTGAGGTATAAGCATAATTTCGGCCTCGTTATCCGTTGGTCTCTATGATTGGCTCTTCAAGTATCTTTTGGGAAGGCAGACGACTGGCATTTTTAGTGTGCACGTGTGTCGACCAGAGTGAACATTGCTGAAGCGCCTCCAGTGTGATTTTGGCCGTAAATAACTGGAGGCCCCGGGCAAACCCACCCAATGTAGAAAAGTATCTACCTTTCTCGTTTCATAGAGAGCTATGAAAGGGACGAATCCCAGCCTAGTCAAACTAGAGGCTTGCAAACGCAATCGTGTTGACAATAGCTCCAAGGAGTTTGTATGACTCTCTCTGGCAGTGTGCAGAGCGTAAAGGCACGGAGGTAATATATGCTTTCGCCTAGTCACCTCGCAAACGGTTGGGTATTGACTGCAGAGATCCATTTCCATTTGTTTTATTACCGGGATTATAGCTTGATTTCTTTGTTCCTAATTTCACAGACAGAACGAAATCGCTTTTCTCGTGTGGCGTCACGGCGGTGAGACAGAAATGAATCAGTGTACCGGAATTCCACGCTTGTGCTCGTTCTATAGCGCTTCTAAAAACCGTGTGATCACGGCTGTCCAATTAACGTCAACAATGCATAAACTGCAGTTACTTGTACTCGTATTGCATCGTGAGGGAACGACTATGACTGGGTAAACAGGAATAGGGAGAATGGGTGCGTTTGATTTGTTGAAGTTCGAATCAACAAATCAAGCTTCAACGAATGCGATAGTATTGCATTCACTGAACCAGCTATATGAGTTTTCAGACGGTATATACCTTCCAAGTATGCGATTCGTGTTCTGCCAGTGGTGCTTCACCTAAATTAAAAAAAGCAAAATCCACGTTCAAAAAAAAAAAATTGTTTACGGTGACTCGAGCCGCTCCCGCGCCGAATCATGTTTCACGTAAGCGTAATCTTGGGGTCGATGCACGACGAGTTGTCTTCAATCATAAAAATAGTTTGATTACGATTATTGGCTGCGCTAAGAATATGAAAGCCAAGCAGTGTTCTTAGAAATATTATATACATTTTATTTTACACTGTTTGACTACGCTGCCGTCGTTATGTTCTTGAATTATTGGCTAGCTTGTGGCGGACAGGGAAGTCTTGCAGGACCATATGACAGGACCTACACTAAACCTGCCGCACTTCAAAAAAGGTTAGTCCAATGCATACAAGCTTGTTCAAGGCGGACGGAGCGTTGCGCATCCGGCAAAGCGCACACAATCGCTGCCCGCGGCGTTTTTTTTTTTGTTTTTTTTTTTCGAGCAGCGAAATAATTTTTAGTCTAGCAGCAGGCCCCCTCTTCGGCGGGTTAAGCCGGATTAACGGAGGCGTCTCCTAATCCATTCTCCATGTTGCCCCCCTCGGGGGAGGGCGGCAAACAGGTGGGGGAGGGCGGTGAAGGAAGGAAAGGAGGGCAGGAGAGGAGGAAATGCAGAAAAAGTGGAAAGCGCGAACTGTACAGCGGCCTTTAATTAAGGGAACTTGAATAAATAAATAAATAAATGAATAAATACATAATATAGAGGGCCCCCCCCTCCCCCCCCCCCCCCCCCCCCCCCATATGCGTACATTTATAACTACATGTTTCTGCGCCGCAAACACCGCAATTCCTTAAAGCTGTTTATTTTTTTCTTTCAAATCAACGTAGAAACATAGGTGTGAACTTAAATGTCGAGGTTGCAATAAACATGTTTTAAGTTTAGATGAAGGATTGAGAGACGCTGTGATGCTGCCAGAGTAGTGCTAAGCAACTTATAGATTAACCTTTCTACTACGTGGAGAAAAAAAAAGAGCTCTAAATTCGAGCTTTCAATGCGTGTGCCTGCCCCTGCATTCAGAGTGGTGCAACCAGTTCATCCGCATGCAATAAAAAACATAGAGCCCACATCTATTGCGCAGCAGCACGATGAATTGGCACACATGAGCAGCTCGTTGACTTTCTAGTAGTGTCGGTTGTGGTAGAACTTGAGCTCGCCGCGATGCATGTTGTTTTGACATGTAGCATATTTATCAGTTATTTTAATACTCGCCAATCTTAATTTGTATGTTCTTGGTATGGCCTACTTTTAAATTTCTTTTTCTTCTTGTTTTGTTTTGTTTAGAATTGGAGAATTTTAGTAGGTACAACTTTTTTTTTTATTAAGGTTCAATGGTACTTTATGGCGAATTATCCCCTTGTAGAGCTGTAGTTACAATATTTAATGATTGGTCTCCCCAAACTTGGATGTTACTTGCATTCGTTAGCTTCCTTTCTAAAGTTGTGAAATAAACTATAATATGATGGCAGTCAGCACTGAAACGCAATACGTTGTTTACACTAATTTATCTATAAAAATGTTCCTAACATATTGTATGCCACTTGGACAAATGCAGACGTTAAGAAATTGCATTCGTCCTACCCCTCAGTCTAGTGTCTATATAATAAAGCTATGTCTTGCACCGCTATGGGCAGAGGCCAGCTGATTTGCTACTGTTTGGAAGGTGGAGGGGTGATGTGCAAGGAAGCTAAACTCTGTCCCTCACTCCCATATTGCCTGTTATAATTGTTCCAAAAGTCAGGGAGAAGGGGGAGAGAACTGCCCCCTCTCCTTGCCCCCTTTTTCTGATGGGGTGCAAACTTGAGGATACCATAAATTAATGCAACCGCTTATGGCTGCTGTTGCATACAAAGGAAACAAATAGAGAGAGAGCGAGGGATGTGGTTATCTTTCTCTTAGGTGTTCATAGCAGGGGATACGAACGGTTTTGGATTTTTGCGACTGAGCGAGCTAGCAATCAGTGCTGCCTTAAGGCCTGTTCACACATGCAGCGGAGCGCTCTAAGCATAGCGCTGACCTCGCGCTAAGCGCGTGCTGACGGCAGCGTTCACCAGCTTTGTATCGCACCGTCGAAACTGTTGCTCATGGCAGACGGCAAGTAGCTGACGGCACGTGAGCAGCGCTACATCAGCGCTTCGCTGCATGTGTGAACCGGCCTTTAGTGTTCGGTTGGGACCCTTATTCAATCGGCAAGAAAGCGAGCCCCAGCCAATTATTGGAGCGCATCCTATGAATGACTCCTGGGATTTTCGAAAATGGTCTATTGTCTCGCAAATGAGTGCACTGGTATTAACTAAAAGCACTTCGCGAGCTGTTTCCTCTCTTTTAATATTGCTGACTCTGCATTTAAGCATTCATTCTTCACAGGAGGAGGGACACGGCCGATCGACCTGTCCGGTGACGAGAATTGACGAAGAGGACTCAAGTGTCATAACTGTGGTGTTGGAGGACCACTCCTTTGAGGTGACGGGCTGGTGCAGCGCTCGTTCTTGCATCGCACGGAGTCGACGACATTTCTTACCGTCAAAAAGCAAGCCGGTCACTCGTAGTGATTGGGCACTTCATTAATTTGAAGTACAAATAAAGTCCGTCTTGGCTTTAGACTTGATCACGAAGTTAAAAAAAACTTGTTAGCCATAGGAAATTTGTGTGCCGGTTTTGTCTTTTTTGCCATGTGCTGAAATTAAAATTTTGGTTTATTAAACTCTATTCTACTGTTTTATTTCAGTGCTGAATTTTTATGAGAACCTATAGCCTCTCTGCAGGCTCATGCTTTATATTTCGTCATTTTTCAGCTGCAGTTCCACTTTTCCTTTGCACCCATCTCCTTGTGAACATGTACATAGCTGCTTTTAGATTTTAGGGTTTCCTGAAGAGAGTGCTAATTCTTTTCTACAGAGTTTAGGCAACACATCAGATGGGTCTGTACTTACTGCACACAATTATTTCTGTAGAGTAATTACAGTCCCATTCAAGTGTTGCCTAAACTCTGTATTAAAGAGTTAAGTACTATCTAAGGAGGGGTCATACAAACTGCTCAAGTGTGCTGCTATGTGACATTAACTCTTGGTAGAGAGCAGAGTTAACTCTTTAATACGGGCTCAAGGTACAATTCAAATGGAGTTGTATTTACTCCACAATAACGCTAAAACTACCCTTCCTGGAGACCGTGCTTAACTCTTAAATATAGAGTTCAGGCAACACTTCTAATGGAGTTGTCATTACTCTCCACAAACGAGTGGATACAGAGTTTAGGCAACACTTCTAATAGAGTTGTGGCTACTCTACACGATGGAGTGAGGGTAACTCTTCCTGGCGAGTACGCGTAACTCTTGAATACAGAGTTCAGGCAACATTGTAATAGAGTTGTAGTTACCCTACACGAAGGAATGGAGGTAACTCTTCCTGGAGAGTATCCTTCACTCGTCAACAAGGAGTTTCGGCAACACTTCTGATAGAGTTATAGTCACTCTACACAAAAAAGTGAAATTTACTCTCATCAAAGAGTTTAGGCAACACTTCTCATGGAGTTATAGTTACTCTACACAAAGGAGTGAAGGTAACACTTACACTTACACATCAAAAGAGTAGCCCTGACTCTCACAAAGGTATTGGCGTGACTCTCTGTAGAAGAGTTAAATGAACACTTGTATGGAAGAGTTAAACATACACTTGCGTCCGAAGAGTTATAGTTACTCTTTAAAAGAGTGGATTCTGTGACAAGCCAGTTACACTCCAAAAAGAGTTAAATCGACACCTTTTTTTTTTAGAGTGTAGGGTTAGCGTACAACGATGCATAGTTGTTCATGTTTGCTATAAAAAGCAGTAATGTTTTTTTTTTTTTTTTTTTTCGTGTGTAAGGGGGGGGGGGGCAAGCTTCTGTCGGCAGTGTCACCGCAGTTTTATGCGAGCTAGAGGGACCTTCAGTTGGAGATTGCTACTCGCTTGTTGAACAATGACAGCGGCAAAAATACAAAACTCACCCCAGCGATGGTCGCACGATGCTGCAGTCTTCTTAGGTAATGGAGACAGACCAAAAGGCAGACGAGACGGCAGCAAAACTCCCGCTCGGCATCATCCATAGACACACTCCGATTCACTTTGAATGGCATCGCCATGGTGGTGCGATGATATTATCTCAAGAGATTCTGTGGAAAGGTGCAAAATAAATGCAGTCGGTATTAATGCACGATTGGCGAGTTACCGACCGGAAGGAAGGTGATGGACAACAAACTAATGCCTGCGCCGTACGGTACTTCGAAGGTATGGACGTTAAAAGACACAAAGTTTGTTTAGCTTATAACCATATGTTAATTTGAGAAAAAAAAACTTTAAAACAACGTGGCTTGGAGTCAGTAGCCATTTGTTTAGAATCACTGTCTACACATCTTTCCAGCGCTTTCCATCACTAGGCGAAAAATGCAGCCACCGGGAGCATACAATAAACGAAATCTACTACTTCGCCAAAGAGGGACATAGCGCAGGCTCAAAACGCGTTCCACAGCCAAGGAGACAAAGATGGCGGCGAGCAGAAACCGATTCTTGGAATGGTCGTCGTGCAGCTATCTTCATTTGGAAAGGAGAGGGAACGCCGAACTTACCATCAGAGTGCAGGGGCTGATTTCTCACTGCAACTCAGTGTCGTAGGTGTTACAAAAAAAAAAAAAAAAAGAAGAAACGAAATATATTACTCCTTACTTGCAAATAAATGGAACGCGCTACCGATCTATGTGACGCAAAAAAAAATAAACGTTACTGTTACCAATTAAAATTACGCACGTTACTTTTTGCCTATTAATTAGAACTTATTACTGCTCTCAGCTTACAGGTCTACATAAGCGCCATATTTCAAGAAACATTATTTCCTAGCATTACTTCATAAACATTATTTCCTAACCTAACCTAACCTAACCTAACCTAACCTAACCTAATTCCCTTATCTTACCCATCCAACTGAACACTCACGAGAAAGCGCACAAAGGCAAACGCGAAAAAACGCAATGATTTTTTATTACTGGAGCCTAGAAAGACGAAATAAATCAAAAGCGCAATTTGCTTGAAGTTTTCGAGGCTGTAACGAGTGATGTAACTCGTACCCGTTACACGAAATAAGTAAGGTAACACGTTATGTGTTAGTGCTTCGAGAACTTAAAGGTTCCCTGAGGAGGCATCTGAGATCGCCTAAATATGGCGATAACTCATTCTGCTGGTTCTAAGCATCCTAGAAATATCTGATTCATGATGATACGTGACCAATTTCGCTCTAAACAAAATCAAAGATCGCAACACACTGATCTCACCTCCTGCAATGGGAGGAACATGTTCCGAAAGCAGGACCACTCGAGCGCTTGAGAGCTGACGACCGTACACATCACCATCCTTTCATCAATTCATTCTCGAAACCAAGAGCGTGTTAAGTGTCGTTACCTAGAATTACAATGCCCCGTTGTCATGAACGAACCCTGTCGAAATAAACGGTGAACCGTCTTTGGCGAATACTACCATATTTTGAAGGAATCTGGGGAGGGCCTCTCCAGATTCCTTTAAAATATGGTAGTACTCGCCATATTTTGGCGAATACTCTTGCTGACCGCTGAAACTGCTCTGACCAAACTTGTTTGGGGAAAACTTTTTTTGTTTTGTTTTGTTTATGGCCACCATTAGAAAACTTTAAATTCTGAGTTTTTCTGATAAATCTGAATTGAAAAACGTTTTACCAGTGCGTGTTTTTCAGATTTTATTTAATTTATCCGAGAACACGGAACCCTATACATAAATGCTCTATATCAATTAAGTTCCATTGCTCCATATCAATTAAGTTCCATTGGTGGATTCGTAAAGAATGCGTAAGCACAGCGCTTAAGAAACGCCACACACGTTTCTTTTGGGAATTGGTAACACATGACCCCTCAACTTTTCTGTCATGGCTTTCTCTTTTACTTCCTCTATTTCTTGATACCTCTTTTTGGCCTCGATAAAAGGGCAGTGTCAGCGTTCCCCAAAGCGGGACGTGTGTGGCGTTTCCCGAGGGTCATGCTAACGCATTCCCTTAGAATCCACCAATGGATCTTCCTGTAATTTCTTTTTCACGCCCTTCCTACACTCTGCCTGTGAGACCACATCCATACCACTCATGGAAAGAACCGCATCCCTCGTGGCGGGAACCGCATTCCTCGTTTTAACCCCACACACACACATCACGGCCCACGCACCGCTATTACGGAAACCCAAAGCGAAGAACAACCGACGATGGCAGAGCGGCAACTAAGCACGCCCGCATTCCACCGCACCGCGGCGCGTGCTCCTCTCTGGCTTCGCGCCAGCTGTGTGCTTGACTTTGAGGAAAACGAAAGGGCTCGTTTCGGCGAAAACCGGGCGTCAAACTCTCTTTTTCTCTTCTGCGGTGTCTGTCAGTTTGTCAGCGCCGGGGAGAGAGGGGGAGGTTGACGCATGTTGAAGTCGGCGCTTAGGACCAAAGGGAGCGTCGCACGCCTCACCATCTCCTCCTCCTTCTCCCTTTTTCTCCGGCGCTGACCGACAAAAGACACCGCCGAGTTTTCGTCAAAACGAGTGTTCTCATGCTAACGCATTAAGAGTGTTGAAATTCAAGAACCACGTGACCTCACAATTGTGATCGTTCACTTCGGCTTCCGGGGGTTTTAGCGAGTCTTTTCCACACGAACGGTTCGTCCTCGAACGCATCGGCGACGCCGCTACGCATGCGCGCGCGAGTCATTCGGGGTTTTGGCGAGCTATTTTCGTTCGTTTCTCCCACCTCGACCGCTGGAGTCGTCACCGGAACGCAGCCAGCACCTTTCATGAATCGGGTAGAAAATGATGGCGGTCGGTTTGTCCGCCGCACCAGCCAACGTTACTAAAACACTCAGTTGGAAAACTCGCCGTCGAAACCTGGTCCGCTGGCGTCCACCGAGACCAAGCTAAATACGACGACAGCGCCACTCTTTATCATTTGTCTGTACTGCAGTCACCTTGAGCTTTTAGAAAGCATGTTCAGTTTGCGTAAAAACAAACGGAAAAGACTCCTTTTGTATGAAATTTATTGGAGTTTAGTAGAAAATGAAGGGCGCGTGATGTGTTTAAAATCTTTAGTTTGCAAGGTTTTGCGGCACAATTATTATTGTTTTTATACAACCATGCCTCAGCGCTGCTTTCAAGTAGCGCGTCCCGACCTAGGTGCATTTTAACTTCGGTAGTGAGATGCGGCGCGTACGCTCGGGAGGCAGGGGTGGCACCCCTGTATTTTCAACTGTATCTGTTTCGGCGCCAAAATGGCCGATTGAAGCCAAAATTGACGTCACGTGCAGTTCCTCGAGCGGCCGCTGCGGGAGAAATGCCGGCGTTGTGTTCGCCATTAGCTCGGTGCTCGAGGACAGATCGGGGGCACTATTTCAGAGCAGTCTCTATGGCAGTTTCTCCACTGAGTGTTTTAGTAACGCTGGCACCAGCCAAGCGTTAGGCTCAGGACAGCGCAAGGCGATTTGCAATCCTTGTCAATCTGCTTCTTCTGAGACGGGAGGAAGAAGTTTTCGTTTCGGGCGGACATGATTTTCTCAAGGCTCCACCAAAACCAGTTTCTACGTTCCGTTCGGGGCGTGTCAGCCCCCCAGCGCAATCCCAATCATCGAGGAGAATGCCATGGGCAATCAAGGGACCCTCGATCCATCGATTCTGAACCCGGCGGGGTCCATATCGGCAAATTCGGAAATCGAGGAGATGGAGTCAGCGGTAAGCCTAACATCTGGCACCTGCGGGCCCCAGGGGGGCTATGTTGCGCTTTTTGCACTCCCAGGAGACTAGGGAGAAGGAAGTGACGTCAACAAAGCAGCAAATGCAGATTGGATGTTGACTTTGTTTTCTTCTGTCAACATCCAATCTGCGTTTGCTCTAGTCGTTGACGTCACTTCCCTCTTCCAAGTCTCCTGGGAGTGCAAAAAGCGCAACATAGCACCCCAGACCACGGCGAATGCAACGCAGTCACCGACGTCCGATGTCACGACTATTGACATACAACTTGACACGGGACTTATCAGGCATCTGGGAATTCCAAAAGAAGACGTAGGAAGACTGATAACTGAACTTCTGGTCCACTACGCGCAAGGCACGTTGAATCTAAGAAGCGCAATCCCACAAGACGTCCCAAACGAAGGGACAGCGACCCGGCCAACGCCCGACCGCAAAATGGTCTACCATCCACCTTCGAATGATTTTCCGGCACTGAACGACCCGCAAGGTAAAACGAACGCTTCTCTCGGAGTGTCGCAAGCTACGCTTACCGGTGAAGAAAACGGCTTTTTAGACCATGTTTCTCAGCTAGACAATTGGCAGGTGAGCAGAAACAAGCGTCGACGCAAACGAGCTACCTACGCCAACAGAAAATCTACATGTGGAAGCGTCGGATGAGACCGAAGAAAAGACAAAAGGCCAAGCACCTACACAAACTGTGGTACTCAGGATGTCAAAACATTCGGATCAGGAGAGATTAAAGGGGCGATGTAACGATTTTTGTATTTTGCGCAAATACCGCTTAGAACGGATCCCTGACGTTAATGACCTGTGAAATACTCGTTCGTTTTTTACCACACGCAATCGAAGTCGCAGAAAAAAATTAAGAAAAACGAGCAGAGTTCACCTCCTCAACTCGCAGCCAGAACAAGCGGCCACGTGATCTGGAGCCTATTGTATGCCGCCAATGTTGATCATAGCCATGCGCTGGGGTTGGCAAGGCACGGGACACGCGCTGGGTTCCAGACATTGTTATGGTTCGGCTGTTGTCGCCATTGCAGCGATTGGACACGGGACACTACCCGAGTGCTTCTCGAGCTATAGATTGGCACGAGCCCAAATCGAGTGCCCACGCAATGCTCGGGTCCAATCTATGAGCCGCATTCAAATATCGTCACTGGGCGGTACAGCTACCGCCGAGTTACGTCATCAGGTTTTGCGAAGGAGAGATGGAATGAAAACGTTCGGTTTTGTCATCGAAACTACAGCGCAACAAAGGAGTTTCTTGGTCAGTGGCGTTGCGTGCGAGTATCCTTGAGTACCACTAGTCCCAGTAATCTCGTGTAAAGCGTGTGTGGGAACCACGGTGTTCCCCGCATCCCTACCTAGGCCTAGCTCAGGCAGG